ATCTCTTCAATCAGAAAGAGTTAAATATGAGGCAACGATGCTGGCTGGAATTACTCAAGGACTACGACTGTGAGATACTTTACCATCTTGGTAAAGCTAATGTTGTTGCTGATGCTCTCAGTCAGAAAGTCAATCTTGAAAGGAAAAGGCCAAGAGCGTTGAGAATTGAAGTTGTCTCGACTATTTTAGAAAGTATAAAGAAAGCTCAAGAGGAAGCTTCTGAAAAGAATGACCGAAAGGAGGAACGTTTGGGTAAAACATTGGTGTTTGGTACAAACGGTCATGGACTGAAGGTATTCCAAGATCGTATTTGGGTACCTAAGTCAGGAGGAATTAGAGATCTTCTGATGGAAGAAGCTCATAAGACCATGTATTCGATTCATCCCGGTAGCACTAAAATGTATAAGGACCTGAAACCCTTCTACTGGTGGCCGACGATGAAGCTTGATGTTGCAAAGTATGTGGCCGAGTGTGTGACTTGTGTGAGAGTCAAGACACAACATCAGAAACCGTATGGGAGTTTAGAACCATTGCCTGTGCCTATGGGTAAGTGGGAAGACATTGCTATGGATTTTGTCACTAAACATCCCAGAACAAAGAATGGTCACGACATGATTTGGGTGGTCGTTGATCGATTCACTAAGAGTGCGCATTTCATAGAAACAAGGGAGAAATGGTCTATGGAAAAGCTTGCGAATTCTTATGTGAAGGAAATTGTGAGACTTCACGGTGTTCCGCTAACAATTGTGTCGGATCGTGATAGTCGTTTCACCTCAAGGTTTTGGAAATGTCTACAAGAGGAAATGGGTACCAAGTTATGTTTAAGTACAACTTACCATCCACAGACGGATGGTCAGAGTGAAAGAACGATACAAACACTTGAAGATATGCTGAGAGCATGTACCTTGGAATTCCTAGGTAATTGGGATGAACATTTACCGATGGTAGAATTTTCCTATAACAATAGTTTTCACTCGAGCATTAAGATGGCACCTTACCAAGCTTTGTATGGACAAAAGTGTCGTACGCCGTCTTGTTGGCTTGAGGCTGGGGAAAAGCAGTTTATGGGACCGGAGATGGTTCATCAAACTGCTGAAAAGTTGAAAATAATTAGGGAAAGAATGTTACCGGCTCAGGATCGTCAAAAGAGCTATGCTGACAAGAAGCGAAGACCGATGACTTTTGAAGTTGGGGATTCGGTTTTGCTTAAAGTCTCGCCGTGGAAGGGACTTATAAGATTTGGTAAAAGGGGAAAGTTGAGTCCAAGGTTTATTGGACCGTTTAAAGTTCTTCAGAGGATTGGGAACCAAGCTTACAAGCTCGAATTACCCGAAGAACTGAATGGAATTCACAACACTTTTCATGTGTGTTATTTGAGAAAGTTCACGGGAAAAGTTCCTGATATAATTCCAATTTATGAATTGAGAATCGATGAGAACAAAAGGTTGATTGAAGAACCAGAGGCAATTGTTGACCGAAAGACTAAGAAGTTGCAACACAAGATGGTCGAGTTAGTGCTTGTCCGATGGAAACACACGAATGGGCCGAATCTCACCTGGGAGACGGAGAGTGACATGAGGAGTCGCTATCCGCATTTGTTTGTTGATGTGTGATTCCGGGGACGGAATCATTCTAAGGTGGAGAGAATTGTAACACCTGTGTTTCCGGGCTTGCCATTTTTAGCAATGTAATGGTCTAGGTTAACCTTTGTAACCCGTTTTGAAATAATAAGATGGTATTATTTGAGTATTATGTGTTTTGTGCTTAATTGCTTAATTATGTGGTTTGATTAATTAAGAATAAAAATAAGCGTCAAAATTTAAGTGTAAAATAAACTTGATATCTTTAGATAATGTTGTAGTAGTTGAAACAAGGTTTCCGAAGATATAAAGAATGCCGAAATCCGAGTTATAACAAGGAAGTTATGACATGTCGAAGTTTCGCGACAGAACCGGCAACGCTGAATAACGTAAAAAGTGAAATTTACGTTAAAGCGATATTTAGCCTTAGTGATCTAAACGAGAATTGAAGATCTCATTGTTAGTATCAAAGCGATAGAAAGTTAGGCGAGAACGGACGTCAAACGAAGAAGTTATGAAATTATAACGAAATTTTCTGTCTCGGCCTATTAAAAATAAATAATAAAAATAAATTAAAAATCAGCCGACGAAGTCTAAATGAAAGTCGTAGAGCGTAGTCTCACCTTTCCGTGGATATAAAGAACGTCGAAAACGGAGTTCGTATGAAGAAGATATGAATTTCCGAAGTTTATTAAATAATTTGTATTTATTTTTAAATCAAAATTCGGAAGCATTATCCGAAGGCGAGTCACAGGTCTGATCCGACTTACGCGCCGCGTAAGTGAGTACACCCCGCGTACTCCGAAGAGTGTCGAAACTTCGGATGACGCATGCGCTTACGTTTCTGAGGCACGTACGCCCCGCGTACGAGGAGCTTCCAGCCTCCTATAAATAGGATGCGAGGGGTCCGGGTTTAATTGCTAATTTCCTCTTGTTTTTGTGCCGAAGCTCTGCGTTTTTACCCCCGAAGCCCCGGTAATATTCCCGAGTCCCAAAGCGAGTCACGAGATCCCGAAGATCCCGAGAAGTGCGGTTTCCGAGCCGAAACTCTGCCCACGAGAAGTTCGATTTTCGTAGAGATCTTCCAGATCTGCGGAGGATTATTACTTTTGCGAGTCGTAGTGCTGTCCGATCATCTTCTGATCAAGTGAGTGTATACTACCTTTCATAAACTCAATAATAATACAAGTATGGTTCGAGGGTATTAAGTTTATTGTCGTTTATACGTGTGAATGCGTTGTTACTTTCTTCTAACGTATAATTATGAAGTATTTTATACGAGATACGTGTTATGTGTATATTTTATTGTTATGTGTGTGAATGTATATTCACTTTCTTCTGTCTTACAGATCTGATTATTTCTATATGAAATACGTGTTATGTGTGTGTGCCTCATCTGTTATATGGAAAATGTATTGATCAAGCATGCTATACAGGTTTTGAAAATATGTATAAAAATGTATGTTTTTATCTACTGATATGTTGTGTAGAACATGGGTAGATAGTTGGTGTGTAATAAACAGATGAGAGGCCTCGTTGTTGTTTGATCTAGTCATCTAGCGGAATTTAGATGACGACCACGGACTTTCTAGAAAGTCCAGTGGAACGCTAGCAGGCTCATAACTTGTAGGTGTTAATCAACTTGGGTGTTCATTCGCTGTATTCCATCCCCCTCATGGTTGCCTTATTTGACTTATATTGCTGAGGAAACCTCGCAGCATGTGTTGTCACCCCGATGAAAATATTCTTAGATTAGGTCCCTTGTGTTAGTTATTTTAGGGACGTAAAGTGAGAATAACGGGAATGGGTAACTGGGTTATTGTTGGTTGATAATAATTAATTTAATTATTTATTGTAGGTTGAAAACCCTATATGCTCACCAGGCTCCCAAGCCTGACCCACTCAGTTTTATTTGTATTACAGGAAGTGGCGCAAGGGCGTAAGATGGATGAACCATCAAGTTGATTTGTTTACAAGTCTGCATATGTTTATATTTGTTATATGACTTGTAATGTATTCGTTTATGCTTATTGGTCTGTATCGGAACATGACACCCCGAGTTTTGTTTATAATGAAAATACATTTCTTTTATGAAATGCTTCGGTAAACATTGTTTGATCATGTTTTGTTTTTGGGAACAAATTCCGCAACTCTTTCAAATCAAAAGGATTTACTCTAAAAGTATTTAAAAGCATAAATGAAAATTGGTCTTTTCTGGCCGAGATTTTGGGGATGTCACAACTATCAATTTTGATATGAGGATTTTAGATCATAATAAGTCGGTTGTCCGCATGGCCAACTTTTGTGTGGTTTCTGGGCATACGGTAAGATGTTTGAATACTATAAATATAGGAAAAACCAACTAATTTTATCTTATATTTTGTGCTTTTTTTAGGGATACTTTAGGCTCCATCAATTCAGCCCATTTGTTTTGCTCTGTTTTTGCAGGTTAATGGTGTAGTACAATTCCACAGAGACATCTTAAAGGATGGATTATTTGCAGATTATGTGTCAATATGGCCAAACAAGTTTCAAAATAAGACCAATGACATTACTCCTAGACGTTGGCTCAAATTTTCTAGTCCTAAACTTAGTCAGATCATAACAAAATGGTTAAAAACAGACAAGTGGGTCACTAACCTAGACCTACTTGTGTGTCTGTGGGAGGTATGATGCTTTCATTTTCATTCTATTATTAGGTAAAAATGACCAAAATGCCCTCTATTATGAGGATTTACATATCTCCTGCTGATTGTTTTATCTTATCCTCTCTCTCCAAAAGTTTGATGACAATCCAGAACTTCATAGAAGAAGAGACTAGAACATTCTGTTAATGCAATGCAATGCATGTTGAAACAGGAAATGAGCCATGAAGAGCGAAAAGCCACAACACCAAGGACAGTCATGATTGGAGGGAAAGCATTTGCAACATATACAAATGCTAAAAGAATAGTCAACCTTATGGATGATGTTGGTACTATTGTGAACACCGATCCTGAAGTTAACGAATACTAGGTAAAAATGGTTTACATATATTTTTTTGTTTTTGAACTTATTTATTATTGTAATTTTGTATTGCATGTGGTTTTTGTGCCTAATTACAATGTATATGTGGCGGAGGTACTTATACCAGGAACTGAGGCGTCACAACATATAAGTACAACTGGCATGGAAGCTAGTGGGACAAGTAATATGAAGTTTGCACTTAATGGATGTCTTATTATAGGAACATTAGATGGGGCTAATGTTGAAATCAGGGAGGAAGTTGGAGAGGAAACTTTTTTCCTTTTTGGAGCAACAGCAGATAAAGTTCCATTTTATTTCTCATTTATTACTAAGTTAGGGTATATGGTTTTAGTTGAAAGGTGAAGATGAACAAAGGTTTATCTCTTTTTATTTCTAATTTATTACTAAGTTTAGAAAATAAATGGAGACTAAATAAATGTCATAATTTTTGTTTATAGCTCCTTCTCTTCAGTTTGCTTCTTGCTTCCAATCTATGCCAGATAACAATGGAGATTGATGGATGTCGGTTAATAGCCTCTTCTGGAGCATATAAAGCAGCAAGTTATTAATATTTTTTAAATAAATAAATGTTCCTCAATTTGGAAAATGAAAGGGAATAAAAGTAAATAAATGTCGATATTTTTAATTTGAAGGTGGTGGAGTGTCTAATTAGGTTGGTTGAAACCTGATGAGGTTTCCATGGTAAGTGTAATTTGGTGTTTTGCAAGTTTGTGTCACCACCACAACTAATTTCTCATGTTTGCTATGATACTATTCTCCTTGTGCAGCTTGTAGAATATGTGCTAAGTAAGGTCATGGAAGAGCTTGAGAATCGTATCACTAGTCAAGTTGAACGGGTAAAGCTTCTTAGCTATGTTGTTTCCTAATTTCCTTGCTTGGTGTTTCAAGTACATATAATAATAAGCTACATTTCCTTCTATATAACTTTTTAAACATTTTTTTATAAGGCACAAATATACAATCTTATAACTTTCTACTTTATATAATGTCTAATCATTTTTTTTTTCAGTCAGCTGTTAACTTATAAGTAATTGGAGGTAAGGAAAAATTATAACCACGGATGATTTGCAAATTATCAAATTTTGATTTATTAATACACAGGTAAATGAGGTGAAAGGAGAGGATGTTGTTTGTTTGATGAAGAATTCTGCTACTCTATCTGGTTTGTTATTCACCTTGCATGTATTCCAAATATGTATTGAGCTGCCAACTCTCATTGATAAAGATAAGGAGGTGAAGTTTCTCTTTTGTGATTCCATTAGATGTTTCTTATCATATACTCATTTAAGTTGTAGGTTTTATGGAAAATTGTAGGTTAATTAGCACATGGGGAGTGCGTAACAAGATTTTTGCAAAGATAGAAAATTTTGAGGTTGGATGCCCACATTTTTCAAATTGTATGTAATCAAATTGCCTCTTATGTCACATTGGGGAGATTACTTTAATGTCACATTGAAATTTCATCGAATAGTATAGCGATAAATAGAAGAAATGGCAATGTACTTTCATCTATTATTTGTATGACATTAAATTTTATGCAATGGATTTTTTTTTATTTTTTATATATATTTTTTTTGTATATGGTATTTTTTTTTATTATGACATTAAATACAAATTTAATTTTATGATACGCAAAAATGTGTGTCATCTTCATTTATGACATGGCCTTTCTCGACAGGGGCTTTCTTGATACACATTGCGTGTCATTAACACGAGCGTCGTAAGGTTACGACACGCGAATGCGTGTCGTCTTCCTTTATGTTAGGGTCTTCCTTGATACGTATTGCGTGTCGTAATTGCGCGTCGTCTATAGACGACGCGCAAAAGCGCGCCATCTCTCTTTATGACAAAGCCTTCCTTGACGCGCATTTGCGCGTCGTCTAAGCCTTTTACGACGCGCAATGAGCGTCGTAAAAGGCTGTTTTTCTAGTAGTGTATGGATTGAAATAATTCTCTCAGTCTATGTGTTGTTTCCTGATTTCCAATGACTGACAACATACTACAATTGAACACATCAACTTAGTCCCAGCTTGGCCAAGTGCTTAGGGTGTCATCACTAAATCATTGAGGGGCCCACAAATATCGCTTTTATCCCACTTTGGGTAAAAGGAACGGATAAACTTCGACTCAATGCTCGCTTGCACTCTCTCACCGAATCACACACAACAATACATTTTATAACACCAAGTTACTTGTAACGCCTGTGTTTCTGTGCTTGCCATTTTTAGCAATGTAATAGTCTAGGTTAACTTTTGTAACCCGTTTTGAAATAATATAAGTGTATTATTTGAGTATTATGTGTTTTGTGCTTAATTGCTTAATTATGTGGTTTGATTAATTAAGAATAAAAACAAGCATCAAAATTTAAGTGTAAAATAAACTTGATATCTTTAGATAATATTGTAGTAGTTGAAACAAGGTTTCTGAAGATATAAAGAATGCCGCAATCCGAGTTATAACGAAGAAGTTATGACCTGTCGAATTTCGCGACAGAACCGACAACGCTGAATGACGTAAAAAGTGAAATCTACGTTAGAGCGATATTTAGCATTAGTGATCTAAACGAGAATCAAAGATCTCATTGTTACTATCGAAGCGATAAAAAGTTAGGCGAGAACGGACGTCAAACGAAGAAGTTATGAATTTATAACGAAGTTTTCTGTCCCGGCCTATTAAAAATAAATAATAAAAATAAATTCAAAATTAGCCAACGGAGTCTAAACGAAAGTTGTAGAGCGTAGCCTCACCTTCGCGTGGATATAAAGAACGTCGAAAACAGAGTTAGTATGAAGAAAATATGAATTTTCGAAGTTTATTAAATAATTAATAATTAAATTTAATTATTTAATTTCGGTATTATCCGAAGACGAGTCACAAATCTGATCTCGTGTACGCCCCGCGTATAGCGAAGAGTATCGACACTTCGGATGACACATGCTCTTACGTTTCTGAGGCCGTACGCCCCACGTACGCATGTACGCCCCGCGTACTTGGAGGTTCCAGCCTCCTATAAATAGGATGTGAGGGTTCCGGGTATTGTTGCTCATTTCTTCTCCTCTATGTGCCGAAGCTCTGCATTTTTACCCCTGAAGCCACCCCGAAGCCTCTGTAATATTCCCGAACCCCGAAGCAAGTTTCGAAGCCCCGAAGATCCTGAGAAGTGCGATTTCCGAGCCGAAGCTCTGCCCGCGAGAAGTTCGATTTTTGAAGAGATCTTCCAGATCTGCTGAGGATTACTACTTTTACAAGTCGTAGTGCTGTCCGATCATCTTCTGATCAAGTGAGTGTATACTATCTTTTCATAAACACGATAATAATACAAGTATGGTTTGAGCGTATTAAGTATATTGTTGTTTATATGCGTGAGTATGTTGTTACTTTCTTTTAACGTATAATTATGATGTATTTTATACGAAATACGTGTTATGTGTATATTTTGTTGTTATGTGTGTGAATGTATATTCACTTTCTTCTATCTTACAGATCTGATTATTTCTATATGAAATACGTGTTATGTGTGTATGCCTCATCTGTTATATGGAAAATGTATTGACCGAGCATGTTATAAAAGTTTTGAAAATATGTATAAAATGTATGTTTTTATCTACTAATATGTTGGGTAGAACATAGGTAGATAGTTGGTGTGTAATAAACAGATGAGAGGCCTCGTTGTTGTTTTGATCCAGTCATCTAGCGGAATTTAGATGACGACCACGGACTTTTCTAGACAGTCCAGTGGAACGCTAGCAGGCTCATAACTTGTAGGTGTTAATGAACTTGGGTGTTCATTCGCTGTATTCCATCCCCCTCATGGTTGCCTTATTTGACTTATATTGCCGAGGAACCCCCGCAACATGTGTTGTCACCCCGATGAAAATATTCTTAGATTAGGTCCCCTGTGTTAGTTATTTTAGGGACATAAAGTGAGAATAACGGGAATGGGTAACTGGGTTATTGTTGGTTGATAATAATTAATTTAATTATTTATTATGGGTTGAAAACCCTATATGCGCACCAGGCTCCCAAGCCTAACCCACTCAGTTTTATTTGTATTACAGGAAGTGGCGCAAGGGCGTAAGATGGATGAACCATCAAGTTGTTTTGTTTACAAGTCTGGATATGTATATATTTGTTGAATGACTTGTAATGTTATCGTTTATGCTTATTGGTCTGTATCGGAACATGACACCCCGAGTTTTGATTATAATGAAAATACATTTCTTTTATGAAATGCTTTGGTAAACATTGTTTTATCATGTTTTGTTTTTGGGAACAAATTCCTCAATTCTTTCAAATCAAATGGATTTACTCTGAAATTATTTTAAAATCATAAATGAAAATCAATCTTTTCTGGCCGAGATTTTGGGGATGTCACAGTTGGTACCTCAAGCGACATCAGCTTCATCTTTCGCAGCTTCCAGTGTCATCTGGAATGCTCTCGCCTTCGGTGGATCTGTTGGTATCAAAGCATTAGATCCCAAAATCTCGGCCAGAAAAGACCGATTTTCATTTATGCTTTTAAAATAATTTTAGAGTAAATCCATTTGATGTAACACTGTATTTAGACCTTGCTAGACGTATCATTCATTTGATACTGTCTGGGGTCTCTGTTCACTGTTTTTAGACCTTGCTAGATGTATCTTTCATTTGATACTGTCTGGGTTGTGTGTCACCCTTTTTGTTAGACTGAGCCAGACGTACCGTTAATTCGATACTCCCCTGGAGTCTATGATTTCTTTTGCCTTAGTCAGCAGTCTTCACTGCTGAGGCATATGTTATTTTCCCTGATATTTCACCTACTTTCTTTCAAAATCAATACCACATTTTGATAATGATAGTGTTAAGGAAAAATTACTTTTTACCAAATAACTCTGTCCAGTCTTGGTAGAAGACTGCTTTTAATTAGAAAATATAGGATTTTCTGGAAAGGACTCTAATTCACTATATACTTTAAAACTACTACTTATATAAAGTTATTTGGATAAAAT